TTCGACTAGGTAAATACGTTCGACGATTATTTTCCATAGTAAAAAGAAATCTTGTACGCGTCGTTCTTGGTTCGTTTAAATTCTAGTTCGAAAACAAACAAAAAACATCGATTAAAAACATGATGTCGAAACGAGTTATGTATATATACGAAGAATCAGATTTTACGTGGACGTGTGTGATTCATAAATCGTAAGAAATATTTGTCTTGTGAGAGAAAGAGAGAAAGAAAAGCACGTGTTCTTTGATTTCCCGCTCACCCCGGAGCTATTGTTAATGACTGCGTACTATAATACAATTGCGTCAACTAGTTGTTGAAAAAAAAAAAAAAAAAAAAAAAAATAGGAAAAAACAATCGATACGATTTCGAAGCAGCCTGCGGTGGAACGAGTCTGTTCTTTATCGACTACCACTAATCACCACGCCAAGGTGTAACGATTATGCGTGCACGTGTATATTATGAAAATGACATAGATAGAAATAACATCTGCAATCAAACTTTGGATCTTTAATATTCGCAACAGATCGTTTTGTTTGGACGATCGTATAAAACAACGATAGATAACATCCTATTCTAAGAAACGTGTTAAGTAGTCACTTAATTTAAATGCTAAATATTCAAGTGTTTTTTCTAACTCGGAGAAACTTTTCTCTTCTTCGAAAGCAAGCAACAAATTTGATGTCTTTTTCGAGTCTTGTAAAAGAATCCAATTTAATCGCGTCGTATATCAAACAAAAGAACACGATAAGATTATTTCCAGTAGACTTCCTTTTACCGACATTCGAGTTTACGTGTTAAAACGTAGCTGTGCAAAATTCTATTCGCATTAACGCAATAACATAACAACACGCAACTAGCGTCGTCACTTGCAACGAACGAACGAACGAACGAACATGTGTAAGGAAAAAGAAGAAATGTCTTTTTCTATTGATGTCATCGAGACTTAGGAAGTATCAACGACATTTAATTCTACGAGAAAAACAAAGACGAGCCAATAATTGCTAAACACCGTTGTGATTCTTTCAATTCCGATCTAACTTTACTCAAAGTATATTGCACCTGTGTGTTTGAACCGTAATTATTTCGAAATCAACCAACTTCTTTCCCAAACCTATTAACCAACCAATCCTGATCGAACGGACACGTTTCTGTAATAAATAATATCTCCTAATATCGATGTCAAAGGAATATAAATGATTAGAATACGCATCCATGTTCCTTTCTACAAAATCCACAAATTACACAATAATTATGAAAGTAATATTTCAAGATTTATATTTGAACACTATATGAATTCTATACAATATTGAAATAACAAACATGATCCGATTGATAAATTAAAAAATAATTTATTTTCACTTGGACCACTTTCATAATTATGGGCACAAATGTCAAAAGAAAATATCTCTTATTGCATTTTCTTTTGTTGAATAACTCAAAAGTAGCCTTTTCTTTTGAAGTATAAATAAATGGCACGAGCAAGAGTCCGACGTCTTTCCTAATTCTTAATGACTATTGACGACGATGAAAAGTCTCGCATATTGAAAGATCTATCTAACATAAGTAAGCATTAGAAAAGAGCTTTACTGTTAAGAAGCACGTATTTGTATCTCTCCTTTCGCAATGAAAAATCAATGTACACGTATATAATGTATGTTTACACATTCGAAGGATCGAGCACGATCGGAATAATTCCTATATTCTACCCCCCACTCGTTCCTCTTCATTCAACCTTCGACTCGGTCGAGTCTCGAGAAGACACGTCGAACTGGTGGCCCTGCTAAGATCACGCGATAGATTTGTCAGCATTGACTTCAAGGCCAAATCGCTTGAAGCTTTTCTAATGTCGCGAATCGATATTTCCAGGTCCAGTCCAAGGACCCTCCTTTCGCGACGATTAACGAAGGTCTTTGCAAAGGCCTGATCAAAGGCCTGATCAAAAGATTCCTTCTTCCTATCCAACTATTATACTTGCGAGTATTACACGTTTAACGATAAATCGTGGTCTATCTATCTCATGACGTATCCTTGCTTCGATGACCCAGTTAGACGGTTAAACAACTCGGCGGGCGACCCCTCGTCGTACGTAAATTCATCTCGACGTATCGAACAACACTCGCGACAAGAGTAACTCCTCGATCTATATCTATCTTATTATTTTTCTATCATCAAGAAAAAGTAACAAAATGATATTTCAAATGCAAACAAAATAAGCCCATACTGAAAGAGGTTTACCTACCGAAAACTTAGTTATCGGTTGATATTGCGGTAAAAAGTCACTATCATTATATGAACAGTAATTTGTTATTAGAATCTGCGGCTGCATATGCCGTTGAAATTTACCTAGTGGTCGGTAAAGTGTTGAAGATCATTTGCAAAAGATGATGCGAAGAATAAGATGGCCACACAAGTAGCAAGCAACACTCCAGCAGACTCTAGTTGTCATACGCGCGTCCGCGATGTATCTGAAACGAGACAAATACTCTTAAAGGATAATGACATCCGACAAGAACGTATTCTTTCCCCTCGTCGCGAGAGAGAGAGAGAGAGAGAGATAGAGAGAGAGCATTAATACGTCTTCCTCCTCTATCCGTCTCTCAACGATCCAGTTTTGCGCGGTTCTTCCTGCTCCACCGTGGGACTTTTTTAGCAACGAATTAGAGACAAGCAACCGGATGTACCGTATATCTAGCCTATATATGCGATATAATCGAAACTATCAATGAAAAACTTGAAATTCGACGAAACTCGTTCATTCAGAACATATCTTTTATTTACCATGAATATGCACTCTATTTATATTTCTCATTTTTTTCCAAGTTTCTGCTCAAAGATAACTTCGAGGCATTAATAATTGTCCTCTAATCATTCGTCTAATATAAGTAAAGTGTACTGTACTGTACTGTATTCAAATAATTGTTAATTGTTAATAATGTTATACTTGGTATACTACGTCTTCCTCGAAATTCGTCAGACAAATCGTTAGACTGGCACGTTACTATTCTCTGTGAAAGTTCTTTTATTAAATGTTGTTTATATGACTTTCCTTAAGAAGACTTTGAGTAAGTCTCGATCGTTTGATTATGATGCAAAGTAGATATATTATTCAGGTATATATTCCTATCGCGTATGGACGGTCTCGTCGAGCGTCTACAAAAACGTTCACGTTTTCTTAACGCATCGTTATTGTTTTTTCGCTTTATTTGTTTAACAGTGACCATAACTTTGATACCGATAGAAAAATTCAAAAGAAAAGAAACAGGAAGGGAACCTAAATAAAAAGGCATAATGTCGTTGTTACATATGACGCCTATTTTGAAGAAGAATACAAAATGAAAAGTGTTGGAACGACGATATTTCGTTATTCCATTTGATCGTCATTTAGCGACGATAGCGATAAAATCGCGAAGAAGGACGCGGATCAGTGAGTGGCAATGGCGCGAGCACGAAAATAGTCAATGAGCAAACACAGATTTCAAAGATAAGAGGAAGGAGAGAAAAAGAAAAAGACGAGAGAGAGAGAGAGAGAGAGAGAGAGCAGCGAGCAGCAAGCTAGCAACGAATAAATTGGAATTCCTAAGGTCACGTCCCGGAAGTCGCGTCATCCGCTACAAGATTGGCTTCCGTTAGAATCGACTAGATGCGAGGAGGTTCGTCCAACGAATTCGTAAGAACCAATCGTTTTCGGAATCCTATTTTACTATGCAAAACTTTACAAATCTTTGATGACTTTGGTCATCTTTCTTTTTCGCAAGAACGAATAATTCCCTCGACAAACAACATGGTCAAAAGTCTATTATACTACGGACGTTGGCCAATATTTGTGAAATAAAGAATAAAAATAGGAAGGAGATAGATATACTCGCTTTTACAAACGAGGAAAAAAAACGAACCTAAATGAGATGTTATTTTTATATCTTTCTAAAATATCATTCTTAAACGTCTCATTGCGTCTTATAATAAATCGCATTCATAATCGCGATTCATGCATTAATAAATAAACTTTGTTATTTGTTCGTTCGGCAATTCGTCGCGATTCTCGGCCAGATTTTAACCGCGTTTCGACATCGAATTCACTTTAATCCTCTGGATATTTAAGAAGGAAGAACCTTTAAGGGTCGGCCCATTTATAAGGACGACCTAAAAACTGCTGTTAAGCGTGAAAAAGAGGCTTTAAACGAGGATTAAGTCGTCTCTAAATGTTAAGAAAAAAAAAAAAAAACAACATTTACGATATAATTATAATGATATTTCTGAAGGTCGTTTAATTTGTTTAACGAAAAAATTCACGTTCTCCAAATATCACCACGTTCTGCGATACGATATATAATAGAATGTAGGAATATATTCACATAAAGCGGAGAAAGAGGGTCGGGGTCGAATCCACGTGCCTGGTAGGGTGCATTGGTATGAGTGAAGGACACAAATCGAGAAGCAATATGTACCAATGCATGGGCTTTCTTTGTCACGTGTAGTGGAGGGTTAGGGTTGCTCCCAGCATGCAGCCTAGCCGAGCCAAGAAAGACGAAAATGTCTTTTGTGTTTCTCTTGTTGTCGCTCGTCAGGTCGTTTTTAGTTGTCCGTTTGTCGGCAAAGGAAGATCCTCGTTCTTCCCCCAAATGACAAGAATGTTGAAGCCCTGTTCCGGAAAAAGCGGATTTTCCATGCCTCTGGAAAACATAGATAATTCAATAAGCCGGATGCGCCAATCGGCTTTACGACCAACTTCCGGAGTTATGTATCAGTTTAAATTGTCAACTTACCTATTATTGTAACCATGAGTATCGTCGACGTGAAAGTCGACGTCGTACTTATTGAAAAAGGTATCTTCCAGCTGTTCTCGTGCCATCGACCGCCGACTCATCTTATCTTAATCGGTTGTTCCTAAACTTTAACCTTCTAAATACAAGTTTCCATTTGTGATTGTCCATTTATAAATAATCCTTATTATAAATAATCCAACAACGCTAACCCGAAACAACGCATCCTCCTCCTCCTCCTCCTCTTGTCATCCTTTATTCGTTGTGCATACATAGACCCTGCATATATACATATATGTGTATATAGTAGATACGAGGTAGGGTCGAGGATGATGTCAACTCGTGCTGACTAATCTCGTCCACTCACAAAGTTATGCATCATCGGTGCGTTACCCGCTGATTTGAACATTTTCCCACGTTTTTTAATCAAATATTTTTCGAATTTGAATAATTTGTTTGTTAGGACGAAGAAAAAGAATCTAGCGAGAGGAGTTGTAAAATTGCAGCAACGTCGACTAACACAAGAGACTACTTTACAACGCGTTGCTCCATACGATGCAATTACAGACTACTCGACGTTTTTCATGATTTTTTTTTCTTTTTTTTAGTAGAATTATTGTAAACTCGTGCGTGGTGTCGCAATCCTTGTCTTTTATCTTCTCTTTTATCCGACATCGAGCGCAGCAAAAATTGGGGTCAATTTTCTCTTCTATCGAGCGATAGGAGACTTTTCTATCCTCGTCTCCTATCGCTCGATATCTCACGGACAACGTGTTTTCCCAGAATGCGCGAGGGGATTAGTAATCTAGCCTAGCAATTTTATAATAATATTAACAATTTGTAAGAGTGTTTCGGTAAGATTTTCGATTCGAGTCGAGCGCGTTTAATCCGATCGATGCGTCAGGAACAAAATCTTGCGATCGCTTTATCCTTTTTTTCCCTTCGAGATATTTCAAAAGAGCAACGAAGAACCGGTTTGCTCGTGCGTTTGGCAATACGCGAGCTCGCGTGCTTTAAAAGCTATTTGGCAAGAGAGAGATTCTTTGAAAAAAAAAAAAAAGAAAAAAAAAAGAAAAAAAAAAGAACCCGAACGAAATTCAATATTTGTATGTTCGGATCGGATCGGATCGGTTCAGCTCGACTCGACTCGACTCGACTCGACTCGGATCTTTTTCTCTATACTTCTTGTTGGGACATTGTAGGAGCTCTCTTGATCTTCTCCTCCTCTTCTTCTCCTCCTCTTCTTCTCCTCGTTATCTTGGAGGAGTACGTGGCTTCGTCGCACATGCCTTCGTTTACGAACGCATCTGCTCGTCGAACAACGCGAGATGAAAGAAAAAGAAAGGAAATTGCCGCGAGAAGAGAGTCCAAGAGAATGCACACGTTGTGTGCGTTTGTGAGAGATAGCCGAGTTAGTTGCACCTGCCTACCGGCCGGCTTGCTTTTCATTACCTCATGCCGCCACGGACCCTACCCAAAAGGCCTGCCTTCCTGCCCATTTTATACTTTTTACCTGACCTTTCGAAACCTAGACACGCTTTGCCTATTTTCAGGGACAACTATCTTCCCCTTCCCTTCTCTTCCATCATTATTTTCCTAATTATCAATTAAACAAAATATACGAGTACCTACAAATCTTGAATTATTCTCTGCTCGCGTAATCTTCTCTCAATGAGAGAACCGCACCGACAGACACACCGTGTACGGTTTCGCAAACGTACTTAAATCTATCGTCGTATTGTTTGCGAATTATTGCGACACGCGGTGCGTAGGGGGATTTTACATAATTGTAGGTGTGTCATTTCAGAGACCTCCGTCATTTTGTCTTCTTGTCTCTTGTTTTCATAATTAGTGCCGTTAGTCGGACAGGAAGTCAGGGTCAAATTGGTGCCATTCGATATCGCTAAATTAATTCGTATAACTCGAGAGAGAGAGAGAGAGAGAGATCGATGAAAGCGTAGTAAGTATTATCTATTATCTATGATATAAAATATAAAAAACGTCAGACAAATTTATCGACAGATCGATCGATCGAAGAAGATGACAAGACAAAGATAAAGAATGACTAAAGTTTTCTCGCGAGACGCAAATGCATCTCATTGTATCTCAACACGATTCTCTTCGGATTCGCTCGTGATTGAGCCACGTTCACGAAGGCTAACATTTATCTGGGTCGCGGACGTCTCTTCGTTTGACTCTTGCTTCCTTGGATCCTATCCTTCGATCTTTTGTCTTTATCCAAATGATACCATCCTCTTTCTTTCCTTTGTCAAATAAATCAATCTAAACAAATATACGTATATTTAAATATAGCTACATTTTATAATACATATGTAATATTATATTATCGAACGCGTTTCTCTTTGATAATAGGAACAATTTCTCGTGGTTTCCATAAGATGACAGCACCGTCTACTTCTCGGTTATTCTTGTCAAGATCTCCCTGCCCCATGTGCCCTGCTCATTTTGTCTACGACTTTCAAAAATGACAAAGTTATAAGAGCTTGTTTGAAATGCGCTAAAGATCGATTAATAAAAGTTCAACTTTGTCATAATCTGTAATTTCTATTTGAATAATTCAAACTCTTGTATCTTGAACAGCTGTGCGAGTAAGGATTCGTAGTAGTGTTTCATTTGGTAGGGCAGCGCCGTATTCCGTTGGTTGAAAGAATCGAGTAACGTGGTGAGTACTACTACTACTACTACTACTACATGAATAACTAATACGATACGTACACTTACTTAGCTACAGCCAACTGTAAACGTAGAGACGCACGCAACCGTCATTCATGTATCTTTATCGCGTGTATATAGAGACGACGACGACATATAAGTAACATGACTTCTAACAACACAACGAAACTTTGCTCCTAAAGATGATATATCGTGCATACGTACGCACGTGGTCCATGCGTGTCACAAGTCGTAACAAATCATTAACGATTAACATCAATTTCTCTCTCTCTTGAAAGTTTCACAATACTTTGTAATTGCGTTAAAGATTGCATACTAATCGACCGTTTGAAAACATAAACATCTTATCGATTAGTTATAATAGCTTTGATGCAACGGTTCTAATAAAAGATAATAATAATAATAATAATAATATTTAAAGAGACATATTTTTCATTTAGATAGCAATTCGTGAGAATCAATTCTATATGATTTGTCGAAAAATGTGGGAAAATTCAAAAGAAGAAAAAGAGCAGAATAGTATGAAAATAAAGGCGGATCCGGGTGCGAGCAGATACGGGAACTTTATGAATTACTACCAATTTCATAGTGCGGAAGAACGCGTACGGCAACTTCCGCGAGACGTCTGGCAGTCTGTTCGTTCGGACCGGAAATATGTGGGACTAGACATTGGCTGTAATGCAGGGGTAAGGGCGGGCAGCTGTCGGAAAGGATGGAACGAATCGTCCATAAGTAAACCGACAGATGAGTTCCATTTATCGACTTTTACCCCCTTTTTCTTGTTCAGAGCCTACAAAATATATTTCTCGTGTTACATAGGAACTGACGTACAAGCTATACGATTTTTTCAATGTTAATTTAACTTTAAATTGCGAAGAAGAAAGACCTGACGACATCTTCCTGCTGGGTATAGATCTCGATCCGATCCTTATCGAGAGGTCACAGGAAAATAATCCACATCCAGATCGAATTACCTTCGAGTACGGTGAATTTCTTTCTTCCGAGTGTGACCCAACCATCTCGAGGTATCTAAAGGAACTTGGAAGAAGCCACTTTGACGTTGTCTTTTGTTTCTCCATCTCTATGTGGATCCACCTAAATCACGGAGACGACGGATTAGTCAAATTCTTTCGCAAAGCTTGCTCTATCTGCGACACGATCGTTGTCGAGCCACAACCTTGGAAGTGTTACAGAAATGCTTCGAGGAGACTGCGATTAGCCAATTTGGAAGACTTCCCTCTGATAAAGAAATTGGAACGCAAGGGTGACATGTCGGAACAAATAGAATTAATCTTGACCAATCTATGCAATTTTCGTAAACTTATCGTTACTTGCAGCAACGATTGGCAAAGGAAAATCATGATTTTCGTTAGAAATAACGAAAATTCATCCTATTAATTGTATAATTATGTATAACTATAACTCATTTTTGTATGTATTTATAAATCAAATAAAAGTAAAAACAAGTAAACATTCGAATACAAGATTAACCAAAAAAAAAGAGAAAAAAAAGAACTAATTAATAATGGTTTACTACTGTGAATAGGAGCGTGCATTTAGGGGGTGGTGGTGTTGATGGCTCGACAAAAAAAGAGCATTAAAGTTACAATTGTTTAACGGAAAGAATCGAGAGAACGACGCAAGATGGCAATACCGTACGAGCTATTTCCTTTGTACTAAGCGTCACGCGTATGCGCGCAACAACAAACTGTTTGTGAGATGAACTCTGCGAGCAAGGTAAGCAAAATAAAAGGGACTTATAGTCGATGATTTTAGGCACTTTCCCGCCACATAATGCTTAGCAGCCGTTCTCTCCCCACCGCTCTCGTTCTTCCTTTTTCTACCGCTCTTGAGTCACGTGCATTTCGCTCGCTCGCTCGCTCGCTCGCTCTCACTCACACTATTTCCCTCTTCTATGTTTTTCGCTATGCCAAGAGCAATGGAGCCTCTGAGTGGACAAAAGGTTATGTTTGCGTTTCCTTCATTAGTAGTCATCAATTGAAAAAGAATATTTGATTTTTCCTTACTTTAGTGTTTCTTAGAAGAATAGAAGATAAGTATAAATTATAGAGAGTTGTTTCTATTTCATCGAGATGTCTTTTTTGTTGTATTGTACTTGTAGGTCGGTGAGATTTTCAGCGCGGCTGGAGCTGCCTTTGGCAAGCTTGGCGAGCTAACGATGCAACTTCATCCAACAACAGACTCTCCAGCAGGGTAAATTTTAATCTGAAACATATATGTAGATTGTATTTTAATTCGTACACGACTCTTTCCTACGTAAAAACATTTCTATTTTCTTTCTGCTCTCTCCTTTGTTTTTCGATCGTATAACGTACTACCGGCATCATCGTCATGGTCGCCATGATGAATAAAGTGTCACGTGACTCGGAACCAATAGTAGAAACCTACCAGTCGTGCCGGCGGAAAGCGCGCTTTTTGAATCGCCGCGATTTAAACATGTCTCTTTCTACGTAACACTTTAATGAGAACGATGATGTAACTTATTTGTCTTTCCTTCTTCTCTCTTGAAAATTTTATTATATAAATATATGTATATAATGTTTAGTAAATGGACTGACGAGGAAATAGAGATGCTCCGTCACTCGGTAAAAACCTTCAGCGAAGATTTAAACAAAATAAGCGAACGCATCAAAGGAAGAACGGTGTAAGTTAGGACATCTCTCAATTTCTTAGTCAGGATTGAAAAATATGTTTTCCAATTTGTTCTCTTGTTTGCAGCTCACAAATTCGAACTACTTTGAAGAAGAAAGCTTTTGAAGAAGCTGGAGTGCCGATTAGACAACAAAGTCAACAGTCTACGATTGTACAACAAGGATCTAAACAACAAAGTGCCAGTAATCAAGCTCTTATTGGAAAATCTGCGGAAGTTACCTTAAATATGTTAAATGCATCCGAATCAGAGGTGGACGTCGAAGGACTACCCGATGATTGTCAAGTCAAGCTTGAATTTGAAGGTGCCACGGAAGAGGTAGCTTCTTAACTCTCAACACAACGTCTTTTATCTATTGTTATAATTTATAAATCGGGAACAAAGCTGTAATCGATTAATTGTTTTAACGGTAAACAATTAAAAAAAAGTAAAGAAAGAAACTGTTTTTGTTAATAAATTTTGTCGCACAGAATTTGAGAATGATAAATCTCTATTTTAAATTTGACCTATGGAGGTAGGGAAAGACAGGAAAACGAACGATATAGTAGGGTAATTTGTGACATTATCCGTCCTGTAAAATCGTAGGAAAGAAGTAATACTTATTTCTGCCACTAGGGCGGCATGACGATCAGATGGATCCTAGGGACCCTATAATGAACCAATCAGTGTTGTTGAAACCATGCAGTGTTCATCAAGTCAAGTCAAGTCAAGAAGCAGTGTTACTCAGTGACGTTGCTGTCCTCTCTTTAGATAATGTATGTTAATGGTCGAACGTAGTCGTCTACCTTCTTCTTGTAATCCATATATAGGAAAAGAAAATGGCGTCGTCTAAGGGTCAGCGATGGATGGTAGATTCAGGAATTCTGCGTAAAAAAAATGGTGAAGAGGAACCACAGGAGCTGTTGGTGTTCGGATATAGCTGCAAATTATTTCGAGACGATGACAAGGCGAAAATGATTGATCAGGGGAAGCATTTGATACCATGGATGGCCGATAACACGTTGAAGATAGACAGGTCCGTTTCCCTAACCTAGAAACAAATTTATGATCTAGGATATTTATTATTGCATAAACACATCATATATGTAACGTTTAGAAGAATGATCTTAAATTCGAATGAAAAAAAAAAAAAAAAAAAGGCACAATATATAAAAATAATAAAGTAGAAAAAAAAAAATATGCAGTGAAGGACATTCGAAGAGAGACAGAGTACCATTATGGTCACTGCAAAATAGTTAATGAGCAGATAAGCAATCTGGAGACTGTTTAAGGTTTCTGCAGGTGTTGGCGATTTGAACGCGCAGTGTTGAAGCGCGATATGCGCTCTGCACGGGCGCAGAGTAAGGTGCTCTTGTGGCTTGGCGCTTATGGCTGACCGTCTGTGCAGCAGCAAGGTGAGACACAGCGTAGAGAGACAAATGGCAAGCTGACGGTTATAGGTATTTATGACCGTTCAGCATGGTATGTATTAGCGTCTTAGATTCAGCTGTGCTGGCAACAATGTACGAATTACCAAATGCATTATGCAACTTTGATAATTTATCTATGTTGCAATATACATTCTACGTTTATGTGTATACTACTCTGCATACAAGTTTTGTATAAATATTGAATGTACAGCATACGTGTCCAAGATGTAACTGGAAACATATATTAAATTATATAAAATATTTTGTTTTGCATTTGTATTATAAGCATTTCTTGAGAAATTTAGGCAAGCTGGATTGTGTACGATTGCGTACGATTGTGTACGATTGTGTACGTACGAATGGACGTTGAAAAGACATTGCAGCGTTTATTCTCAAAGCGTATTCTTCATCATCCAAGCGAACACTTTGTGAGAACTTGTAAATGATTTTTCTACAAACTTGTATTTTCAATTTGTTGTCAACTTTTCTTTTTCTTTTTCTTTTTCTTTCATTTTCTGTCGCTTAATGTTTTATGTGTTTACACATTTTAATGATCTTTAATTCATTAAAATTACTTTTGGTTATATCTGAATAATGCAATATGTATGCTCATTGCAGTTAGATCATTTTATTTTCCATAACGCTATTAATATTAATACAGTTGATGTTAAATATGAAACTTAAGATATCGTCGTGGACCATATAACGATTACTCTCATGTTGTTTGATTAAACCTATAATGCGTAACGTATAAAAACGTATATAAAAAAAAGAAAATATTTCGTTAGATAAAACAGGACAAAATGTTGTACATAATTCAATATATGGTTCTACGTTTTATACATCTAATTGTAAGTAGTGTCAAATAATATTTTGTATCAAATGATTAGTAAATGAGTATATAAACATTTATATAAACATTTATGAAATGATCATAAATGTTGTCATTTTATACGAGATAAAGCAACAAATTGCATCTTCAGAAATATGGTGTAACAATACATAGTACATTTAATTTGGAAGTTATGCAAAGGAATAAATTACACATAAAGATATGTCATTCAAATTTGTACGACTATATATTCTATTTCAGAGGAAACTCTTTGGTGGGATTCTCTTCATAAATTATTTTTCAGATGCCGGGATTAACAAAATAACCAAAATTCATATTAATTTTGTTTCTTCTTATCATTTTCTTTCGCTAATTGAAACATTGTATGTGTATAGATACGATGGACGTGGAGCACTGGGGGATTTAAGGATTCATGAGCCACCGGCAGGTGGTTTTGATCAACGGACGATACTCACAGAGGATGAACTTAAAGTTGAACAGCTCTGTGATGAAGAACGATACCGATCTCTATATAATAACGATGCAGAAGATTCAATGTATCATGGTACGTGGATATTTTTTCACGACTACCCCCCCCCCTCCTCCTCCTGTGTACATTTAACTCTATATGATAACTAAATGAAATATTTATTGTACTATTTGATCGACTATTTTTTGTTCTTATTATTATTATTATTATTATTATTATTATTAGAAGAAGAAATGAAAAGATTGCATCAAGCATTGGACTCTGAAAATTCGTATACTCAAGTAGCATATAATTATAATGACGATGAAAACAATTCAAAGTTAGCATGCGAAGACTCCTCTCAGAGTCCAAAACAATCGGAAGGATCTCAAGAAGAGGATCAAGCTTTTGTACCACCGGCAGATCTTGAAATACCAGAAGGCATGACAGTGGTAAGATAACATTGAGATCATTATTTTGGACATTTAACGACATATATAAAGCTTAATTAATTAACGAATAATATATTTGCAGCCTGAAACGCAAAAGTTAAATGCGATAATTACTAAAACAGCACTATTTATTAGTCGTCAAGGGGGCCAAATGGAGATACTACTAAAGGCGAAACAAGCAAACAATCCGCAATTTTCGTTCTTATCGATAGGTGAACCGCTCCATCCGTATTACAAGTTTGTGCTGGAAGCGATCAAGACTGGAAAATATAATCCTGAAAAACAACCTGAAAAAGAAGAATCTGGTATGCATACTATTTTCTATAAAGCAGCATATCTTGTAGTAACATTATGAAAGTTGATATGATTGAGTTGAAGTAATTGAAGCAACATAAAGCAGGATATGATTACCCACACCTACTTTGATTCTACTTAGTTTTTCTTGCCGTAAGTATTGCCACAAGTTCCTGTTACTACTCTACATCGGTTTTTATCTACAAGTGACAAATGTAACTCATTTTTCTAAGACGATATAATATAATCATTATTATTTATATCCATTGATTTGTTTGTTTGTTTGTTTTTTTTTTTTTTTAACGACAGAACCTGAGGAAGAATCAGATGAAGATGATCAACCATACCTACACCCAAGCCTAGCGCCATCCTTTGCCAAAGTAGAAGCGGTATGTTTTCTTCTAATATATACATTGTCGTACAAATAATGTCGTTGTAATGATTTTTGATAAAAGACATAAAAAAAAAAAAAAACAAAAAAACAAAAAAAAAACAAAAAAGAGTGCTTCCTAAGCTGTTAGAAGATTCTGAACAATTGGGATATTAACGAAATTTGGAAGCCTCCTAAAGAATCATCACAGGTTTACCTCTGAAAGTACCTACTTTTTAAACAGTTATTATTTCAAAAAATACATGGATCATAGGATGATGAAATGTTAATATTATTCTATTACACTAATTTATGTGTCATATATTTCTGCTTCCAGGGCTGATTCTGGTATGCATTGAACCTTTCCTCCTACCCTTTTTTTCTTCTTCTTTATCCATATTCTATCGAAACTCACATATAGCATAAAGTAACATAACAACATTTGATAGAGAAAAAACATACTACGTCGTATCTCGTATATATATATAGAAGAACTGTATTAGGAAATGAATATAATACTACCAACCACCCTATTGTATAAATTTAAATATAATGATATTTCATTATTGTCAATTTCATCAAGTATACAGAAATACATTTATTTTAATAGCGTATTCCAACATTTCCTTTTTCTACCTGGAAATATATACACGTTCCTGTCTTCAAAACATATGCCTCCTCTGTTTTTTATTAATTATCCGTCTCTTCTTTGGAGGGAATATCTTTGTAGGTGATAATATATTTTTCCTACTTACAATCTGCCATAAAAGAAATATGCAAAATAGTTTATTAATATTTCTAAAAGATATGTTTACTTATTTCTAGGCTCCTAGCATACCAAGCATACAGTACAAGCCCTCTGCGGACTGTGCTTATTCAATGCTTGTAAACAAAATCACTGGGAAACCACCCCCACCTAAAATACCACAGTTATTAGATGTTAACGTTCAACAAATGCCGACTTCTGGATATTATCAGCAGCCTACTATTGTGCCACAGGTAAATTCTATTATAAATTCTATTATAAATTCTGTTTTAAATTCTGTTTTAAATTCTATTCCTTTTGTACGATATTCTAAAACTCTTGTTGTTGTTGTTGTTGTTGTAGAGTTACACTCCGTACACAGCAACACCCTTGCAATATTCACACGGTCCAGTTATATATGGACCAAATGGTCAAATTCAATCTCCACCTCAGTTACCAGTACCAGCTGTACCTGTTATCATCTCCACCGAAGAATCTACAACGCCACCACAAACAACAAAAGAAATACCTTCTTTGGTACCCTATGGACCAACTCCACCGAAAACATTAAGCAGACCATCGTTCATCGTTCCACCAGCAGACGTTCAAATAATTATTGACAAGATGGCCAGTTATGTGGCCAAAAATGGAAGAGACTTTGAAGCTATAGTGAAAAATAAAGGTGATCCAAGATTTAATTTTCTTGAATTGTCGCATCAGTATCATGGTTATTACGCACATAAATTGACCATGTACGAAGGGGCCATTAATCCTAAAGTGTTGACCGAAGAAGAATTACTTCAGAAGCAGGAACCGCAAGAGGAGAAACAAAAAAAGTTGGAGGAATTGCAAAAGAAACAGCAAAGAATGGAAGAAGTACAAAAACGAGTGAAAATGATACAAGCTAAAAAAAAGAGTGATACCAAAACAAAACAAAACAGTCCAGGAAGCAAACAGATTACAACGGTATCATTTTCTATAAAAAAACCAAAAGAAGGTGACAATGTAATCATTGAAAAAAGAAATGCATTGCCGTTGGAAGAAAGCGATGACGATGAAATAGAAGCTGAAAAGAAAGAAACTAATTCGAAACCTAATTCGCCACTAAATAGCAAAGAACTAACTAATGTAATAACTAATATCGTCGATAAAGAACTACCTAAGGTAGAAATAAAGAAATGTATAAGCGAAGAAAAGGAATTGGTTGATTTAACTGATGACATTCTTGAAGATTGTCAATTAGAGATAAAACACAAGCAAGTAGAAGATAGGATAAAGGACAAATTAGTGGTAGCAGCTTGTGATAAATTAATAGGTGTTACTTCGAGAGAAAAGCAATTGCAACTGGAACGAAAGAAGAAAGCAGCTATGTTTTTAAGTCAAATTCAAACTTCTTCATCGACTAGCTCGAAAATTGGTGGTGGTGGTGGTGGTGGTAGTGGTGGTACCTCTTCTGTAACACCTAGTATAAGAAAAGATGATTCCGATGAGGTTTACTCGGTTCCATCTCCGTCCTTGGAAGAGGATAAATCAGAAGATGTGAAAATTTGTGCTAACTCGTTGATGGATCGATTAAAAAGTGCAGATTTAAGCGGGAAAAGATCTCGTCAACGATCTAGAAGTCGCAGTGGAAGTCGTAACCGTCTTGAGAGACATAAGATTCACAAAAAACATAAGAAAAAGAAAAGTTCTCACAGAAGGTAAAGTAAATAATATATTCTAACAAAACTAAACTCTTCCATATGTTGTGTTAATCAATATTTTGTGAATTTCTTTTTGATTACAGCAGTTACGACAGTCCAAGTAGCTCTCGAAATCATAGATCTAAAAAGAGCAGCAAAAAGTCATCCTCGAGAAACAGATCTCGATCGCGAACTCCGTCGTCACACAGGCATCAACAAAATGTACGAAGAAAAGGAAGCAACTCGAGTTATTCCGATTCTAGTTCATCTTGAGATACTTAATTACGTTGCTTTTCTTTTTAAGAAATAACAATTGATAATCGTGTAAAAACACTATCTTTGTAAATATATATATATATATATATACATACGAGTACATATGTGAATTGCATCACAGCGGTAAATGATGTTATTGTCATACTGTTTATTTTCTAGTGGAGCATGTACACACACACACACACACGAAGAAATATAATTTACTTATGATAAAGTGATTAGTCATTACAGTGCATAGGTCAATACTTTATACTCTAATTTATTTTTATATTTGGTTTTTATGAACTCTCTTTCCAAAACATTTCCATTCCGTCAGAGGCTTCGTTCGTTATAATCACATGTTTTTACAATAAAATAACAACAAGTATTACGATATATATCTTTTTGTATGTAATATGGGGTTATCGGATTGGAAGATTTTCATAATCTTGAAGTATCTGTAAGTTAAGTAAATTGACATTTACGATATAGATACAGCATGCGAGTTTATATACTCGTCGTCATAGTATATATGTATGTATAATTCTCGACTACTAACAGTAGTCATGAAGTGTCTTTCTTGAGCACTTTAACGCAATTAGATATAACGCAAACTAATTTCATACGTCGTATATATCGTTATTATGTTTATTGACTTTATTGCATCAACGAGATGTTGTACCTTATCCAAAGCGATTGTCGGTTACACTCAGATTCATACATCTCGATTAACGTCAATTGCGTGAATTATGATGAAAGACTCAATCGACAACTATTTTAGGAATGATCAAGGAGAGACTTGACAACTTTTTTTTCTTATATTATACACAAGATCTTTTGCAATTTGGTTATCAGACTTTTTCAAAGTTTCACTGTTCAATTTATAACGAAACGTATTTTTATCTTTTGGATTTTTTGTATCATCTATTAATTGGTTAAAGAAGAGTTACTTCTTTCATCAAAAAGAAAGAACACTTATTATTATTATTATTAGGAGGTATTAATGTGTGTATTAACATAGGATGATTCTAGGAAGAAGAGTGATGATTTTTTTTCTATCAACAAATATACTATTCATACCAGTTCACGATCATATATATTTTATTTGATTAAATTATAAGTGTATCGATGATTTTTCATTTTCATATTTAATTGATTCTTTCATTGGCAAAGATATCAAAATAGTGATTTACTCGTGATTTCTGTTTGACTCGTTTTACTCGTTTAAGAAATATAATATACTTCTTCTTTTCGTAGATTTTTATTTACTAGTGACACTTGGGGTATCCTTTGTTGCTATTTATCTTTTATCTGTATTAGTAAAAGATAACGGATATTAAATAACGTGCGTATGAGAGAGACCAAACGTTGAACAACCTAGGGTCAAAGGGGAGAATTATCTGAGATTTATAAGTTAACTCTGTTAGATTGAACGGGTCAGTCAGTGTTGTATCCTCAAAGAGCACGCATATCAAGGAACCATCTTAATTTATTATAAGGAAATATTGTTTGTTTGTTTTTTTTTTCTTTTTTTTTAAAATGTCTACTAAAATAAGAGTGAGTATGAATTAAATTAATATATATCTAAAACTATGATTTTATTTTTCATATAATGTGTAACGAGAGTTATTATTATAAAGAAAATCATTCAAAAGAAAATTCAATATATTTATGAGTAGAGTTTAAACAAGTCAAATCTGATTTTGTATAAGTATCCTTCAAAAATATAAATTGATCATTTACAGTCACGTAACCAAGTTACTTCGATTACCGATCCCTCGGATAAGTTTCGACCGGAGCCTGTCTATGCCGGCAAATTGAAAAGCGAATTTAGAAATTATAGCGTAGATCCAACAGATGAGATCAAGGAACGTGTTCGTCAAACTTATCAGGACATGCATACTAATCAAACGGTCGAGTTTGTGCGTTGTTAGTATATATTTATTTTGTAACACATTATCAGAGTTATGACGTGTATATATATATATATTTTTTTTTTATGTAATATGTAATGGGTTATCGGATTGAAAGATTTCCATAATCTTAAAGTATTTGTAAGTTAAACCTAAATTGACGTTTACGATATACACATATTTATATAGAATGGGAAAGAGATAATGATCTATTTATATGTCGCTATATGTTATATATAGATCATTAACATTGACCATCAATCAATTGACATTCAATCAATATTTTTCTTATTTTCTCTAATCAATCGAATAAAGAAAGGTTCAATCAATGACGTAAAATTGACCATAATCTTCTTCGTAGAAAGATTGTAGTATAACTAAAAAGATACAATTCAATTCGTTCGTTTAAAAATAGATTTCTTAATGATCGATCTATTATTTTCGTTTGTATCAATTGCTTTGCTAGAGAAAATAAGAACTCGTGTATAATAAGAATTAGAGAGAATTTGAGAAAGTGAGTTTTGGCCTATTAAAGTTTTGAAAATCCCTATCGAATAGATAATACAAATAACTTGTTAATAATTTAATTGTTATTTACCAGCTCGTATGAAAGAATGGCTTCAATTCAACAAAACCAGAATGACGATTAAAGAAGCTCTGATCAAATTAAACGATCTTATAGACGAGAGCGATCCAGATACTTTATTACCGAATATCGTTCACGCCTTTCAAACGGCCGAATCTATAAGAAAAGAACATCCTGATTTAGATTGGTTCCATTTAACTGGACTGATACACGATTTAGGAAAGGTATATATTATACTCGTATTTAAAAATTACATTAACCTACTTATTTTAATACACAAATATTGTAGATTATGGCGTTCTATGGTGAACCACAATGGGCTGTCGTGGGTGATACATTTCCTGTTGGCTGTGCATGGGCTGATTCCATAGTCTACAGGGAGTCCAGTTTTGAAACAAATCCTGATGGCCAGGATTCTCGTTATAAGTACGAATTAGTTACTAATCGAATTTTCTTCTAAAATATATTATTATAATAATATATATTCATATATTATAGCACAAAATATGGGATGTACAAAGCACAATGCGGTATAGACAATTTAATCATGTCCTGGGGACATGACGAATATCTTTATCGTGTTTTGGTTCATAATAATTGTACATTACCTAAGGAAGCACTTGCCATGATCCGTTATCATTCATTCTACCCCTGGCATGCTGGTGGTGATTACATGCATTTTTGTACGCAAGAAGATTTAGATAAACTCAAGTGGATCATAGAATTCAAGTAAGTCATTTTTTTTTTTTTTTCATAGACCATCAATCAACAGTTACTTTCCTGTAAATAAAATTATTTCTTTTATTACAGTAAATATGATTTATACACTAAAAGTGCTTCCGTACCGGATATTGAACAATTATGGCCTTATTATGAAAAATTGATCGACAAATATATTCCAGGCACGTTAGAATGGTGACTGAGATTATTGCAAAACTAAATGGACACTAGCTATGCTTAATTAGTTATTTTTCTTTTCTTTTCTTTTCTTTTTTTTTTTGTACATACTATAAACATACTTCTGCTTTTGATTTTTAAAGCTTAATTCTTCCTCAAATGTACATAATATCCTCAAACAAGATTATTATTTTTATCTCTGAACATATTATAGTCTAAATTATTTTTTCTCACTGTAGCTGCATTCTATTCGCATAATATTGTAGAATGACATGTATATCCATTGATCCCATTGTGTAACAGATTCTTCTTCTCTTTGGTTGAAATAATTCATATGTTTAAAAAATATTTAATAGAATTTTGAATAACAGAATATATACATACATACTTTACTTACTATTATTTGTTATAATAACTTGATAAAGGGAACATTATCTTTGTTAGGTTATAACATAACAGTATCCCACAGAAATTCATCTAATGTAACTATTTTCGTCTTGAATTTGTGACTACTAAAGAAAGAACATGAAATGAATTAATATTAATAAAAAATATTTCTCACTTGATTATTGCATCACTAAGAATTTTGTAAATTAATTACTTTACACTGCACATAGCCCGCATTTGCGTTCAAAATACATTGACAGGTAGCCATCTTGATTTTATCCTAGCGATGTTTTATCTTTCGTCTAGATGGCGACACATATTCTACTAGTCGATAAGATATAGTAACAGTTACTTCCACTAGATGGCAGGATAATTTTACTAGTCGGTAACAATGAAGTAATAGCTAGTACAGCTAGATGGCGACACATAATTTACCAGTTGGTAATAAAGAACAGATTTCCCAATATATTTTTATTAATTGATTAAAAATTAATGCAACCTAAATCAAATTTTTATATGATAAAAATAAGTGTATTTTAATGGTAATATAATATTTACTTCTTCCTCAAACAAAATTATTATTTTTACCTCTAAACATATTATTGTCTAGATTATTTTTTCTCATTGCAGTTGCATCCTATTTGTATAATAAAATACAGGGTATTTCTACAAAGAAGACATGAGTTGTTACAAATATTTAAATTTTTTCTGCTCTCAAGCGATTCCCAGTAATTTTTTCAAACTCCCAGTAAGATGTACATGTTGAGTACTGCATATTAGAATGTATTTGCATTTTGTTTTCTCAATTTTTAATAACAAGTTTTATTTCGACATTATTTCTTCGATTCTTTTGATAAAATAGAACTGGGTATTACAATGCAATATATATTTTGCCGATCTACTCGATCATATGTACAATTGTTTCGGTCATTGTCGGTTAATTTCGGTTAAGATCGTGATTAATCGTGCTATTATGATGACAGTTTCGATGAAAGGAACACGCGTAAGACGCGTAAGACGCGTAAGCAGTATGCACTTGACACTTCAGTTACTACAAACGGGATTGTTAACAATGAATCGATAATCGATATTAGAATCACTTGAAGAGGGTAATTTTAATTTTTCTCCAATATAAAGAGATATCGTTTTCATTCATCGTTATAAAATTACTATAGTAGAGAAAAACAACAACAACAACAACAACAACATTTTGTATCCTTTCTTTTTCTATTTTGATAATATATTCGATGATAATGTTATTTCTTTTATGCATGAACAATGCATTTATTTATGTTTGCGATACATGTCGTAAGAAACTGCAAGGCCAGATGAGCTAGTCGTGACCATGATTTCAAGGCTACAATTATCAATGATAATACATGATGTTTTTAAACACTTTTTTATATTATTAGTATTTTATTAGTATATATATATATATAGATAGATAGATGGATAGATAGATTAGTATATATAGATTACAATCGACAACTTTTTGATTACGAATTGGGGGACACTTTGATTGTCCTTTTTTCTTTTTATCATTTTTTTACTCATGCAGAAAAAGAGTACTATCTTTGAGGGTCGCTATTGGGGTCAGAAAGACGCTGTTTGCCTATTTTACAACAATTACAAGACGCGTTTTGAGTAAATTAATTCTTATGAATGTCCTTAACAAATTGATAGATATTTTGTGTACAATCTATTAAAACATTGTATTATGAATTGTTGAACATGGAACGTACTATGTCTCATGATTCTGAATTTGACGATGCTCTTGGAGTACCCGATTCTTTGGATTTAACGATTAATGAAAATGGAGAAACTATCAATATTTTAATCAACGAAGAGAATATCGAAGAGAATAATATCGACGAGAGAGGTAATTAGATTACATTGGACTAATATGATTTTATATGACTCCAATTATTACAACATTCTTTTTTCTATTTTCTATTTTCTATTTTCTATTTTCTATTTAGAATGTACCGGTGTAATACCATTTTCTGCCATACACAACATTCCAATAAAATCGAAGAAACAATGTAAAGATATTTTTATACCTTGCGAGGAAATTCATGTAAGAATTGTAGATAACGAACGTAGTGTAACTACGCATCCTTTAAATCCAAATTTATATACTATAGAATTTAAACACGGTCCATTTTGTTGGACAATTAAAAAGAGATACAAGCATATTCAAAATTTGCATAACCAATTGAAAATTTATAGAACGAGTTTAAATATACCTTTTCCAACTAAAGGACACAAAGAAAGAAGAAATAGTTTAAAATCCTTGACACATTCGGGAGAGAAAAAGAAAAACAGAGGTGCTTTACCGAGGTATACGTTGGAATACACTAAATACTCTCTAATGCATTATCTATATAAAATCTATTCTCTATACTATAGGTTTCCAAACAAACCAGATGTTTTAGTGCCTTATGAACAATTAAATCATAGAATGAAAGCTTTGGAAAATTATTTGGGAAATTTAGTTAAAATAGATATCTATAAACAACATCCCGAAATGGTACACATACCACCAAATATTATAAAAAAGAAGAAATATTACAGCTAAGAGTATAATATTTTTACTTATTATATATATATATATATACTTGTGATTTGTAGATCAACTTTATGGAGTTATCGCATCTGTCGTTTATAGCTGATTTAGGAATGAAAGGTAAAGAGGGAATAGTCTTGAAACGTACCGGTTCTGGAGCTAGAACTAGGTGTAATTTCTGTGGTTTACTGGAAGGCATGTTTTGCGTTAGATGCAATTATTTTTGCGCTTCCATCTGTAGTAAATGGCATTATCGACATCTACTTGTTAAAGATACATTCATAGCGTATATGGATCCTAAAGACAATAAATTAAAATCTGTTATTTTAATGGATAATGCTTTTGGTATTAGTTTTGGAATGTATACAACAGGATCACGAAATGGAATACAAATAATAAATCAAAGTAGACACGTTGTCTTCAAATGTTGGACACGTAGACAAGCTAAAGAATGGATTGAATTTATTCAACATGTTATTAATACGGAAGGTAGAGATTTTATACAAACGAATCCACATAATTCCTTTGCTCCATATCGTTCTCCTACACCAGCAACTTGGTTCGTGGATGGATGCAGTTATATGTCAGCTGTAGCCGATGCATTAGAAAATGCCAAAGAAGAAATTTTTATTGCCGATTGGTGGCTCTCGCCAGAAATTTTCATGAAACGTCCTGCAACCAATGGAGATTATTGGAGGCTTGATATAATTTTACAAAGGAAAGCAGTCAGTATAAAATCTATATGTAAATTTAACCTAATCTAAAATTAGGTAATAACACATAAATGTGAATAAACATAAATATCTATCTCTCTTACAGATAGAAGGTGTTAAAGTATTCATAATGATATATAAAGAAGTGGAAGTTGCACTGGGAATAAATAGTTTTTATAGTAAACAACGACTTGTAGAAAAATGTCCTGAAAACATCAAAGTCTTAAGGCATCCAGACCACGCAAGAGTTGGAGTTTTCCTTTGGGCGCATCACGAGAAAATTGTAGTTGTCGATCAAAGTATTGCATTTCTCGGCGGCATTGATTTATGTTACGGAAGATGGGACAATAATGAACATAGACTAACCGATTTAGGTTAGTTTAGGATTCCTTCAAAAATGTTCTTTACAAAATATAATAAACATGGAATAATTAATTAAATATATAAACGCGAAATATGTTTATTTTCTGTACAGGATCGGTTCAACATTCCAGTATATACATTCCATCGAAAGGAAAAACAGTAAATACAAGTAGTAAAAGAGTAACACAATGCAACATTCGAAATCACGTATTACTTCCGTTGGCAATAGCAACTAACACAATAGCTATGGCAACTACGAGAGCTCTACCAGTATTGTATGTCCTCCATGTATACTACTAGACATTACAATTAAATAATACGTATAAATCTAAATGATGATTAAATAAATATCTAATATTATTTCATATGTTCATTCTGACTTTGTAGACCAATGATAACTAACAATATGACATTAAAAGAAGAATATTTACCACAATGGAGTGCAGGTGAACTACTAATGATACCTCCTCCTCCTCCGTCACAAGAATTGGATACTATGAAGTGCAATACTCCAGAACCGCAAAGAAAAAATTTATTCGACATGGCTATAACTAAAGTTGAAAGAGTCAAGGATAATATTAAAATAAAACGGAAAGAACTTATAAACATGGTGTATAATCCGCATGAAGAAACTGAAATTGAATATGATGAAGTTGATAATGAGAATATGCTAACACCTTTTAGAGATGAAGGTGGAATGATGTATGGAAGCGCAGATATTATATATGACATTTCTGATACGAGCAAACTATGGCTTGGAAAAGATTATACTAATTTTATTGTCAAAGACTTTAATGACTTGGAAAAACCATATCAAGATTTAGTTGATAGAAGTACAACTCCTAGAATGCCCTGGCATGATGTAGGAGTTTTAATACAAGGAGGAGCAGCTAGGGACATTGCGAGACATTTTATTCTACGTTGGAATGCTATTAAAATAGAGAAAGCAAAGTTAAACGCTGCCTATCCATTTCTATTGCCAAAATCTTATAAAGATAATAAAAAAAGTCATGCTTCATTCATTCCACAAAAATATATAAAAAATGTTAAATGTCAAGTATTACGATCAGTTAGTTCGTGGTCTGCTGGTTTCCTGGATTCCGATATGCAAGAAACTAGTATACAAGAAGCATATATTCAAGCGATAAGTAAGGCTGAAAGATATATATACATAGAAAATCAATTTTTTATAACGCTTGCAACAACAGAAATAAGCAATGTGAAGAATCGTATAGGAGAAACTCTATTGAAAAGAATTTTACAAGCGCACAGGGAAGGTGCTATTTTTCGAGTATTCGTTGTTATGCCTTTGCTACCAGGATTCGAAGGTGACGTTGGTGGTCCAAGTGGAACGGCTCTACGTGCTATAACGCATTGGAATTATGCTTCTATATCGAGAGGTAAGGATGCTATTCTAAATCGACTAATGGAAGCAGGTATATCAGATCCTAGCGAATACATCACATTCCATGGACTAAGAACTCATGCTATGCTCAATGGTACTTTGGTAACCGAACTCATCTACGTTCACAGTAAGCTAATGATTGTAGACGATAAAACAGTAATTTGTGGTTCCGCTAATATAAATGATAGAAGTATGATAGCTACTAGAGATAGTGAAATTGCTGTGATTATTCATGTGAGTTTGTTTTTTGTTCTTTCTTTGTGTTTTATTCTTTTCTTTCTGTGTCTAATAAAAAAAAATTATGAAACAAATAAAATAAACAAATAAAATAAACTATTTCTTCTCTCATTAAAATAGGATTTAGAATTCGATGAAGGAAGAATGAACAATATAGCTTTTCCATGTGGAAAATTTGCTGGATCCTTCAGAAAGCAATTATTCCGTGAACACTTAGGATTGTTAAAAAGTAATGAAGACATCGATCTAACTGATATCATTAAAAAATCTTTCTATAAAGATATATGGTGTACAAGAAGCGAAAACAATACCAAAATATATGAAGAAGTTTTTCATTGTATTCCTACTAACAAAGTTAGTAATTTTGCTACTTTAAAACAATATCAAGACGAAGCCTCTTTCAGTTCTACAGATCCAATTTTAGCTCAAGGAATGGTTGAAAATATAAAGGTTAATCATTTCTTCTATTTCTAACCTTACGTATTTAATGCGTATGCATCTAATATAACTTAACATTACGATATGTTATTACCTTAGGGTCATTTGGTAGACATGCCATTAAATTTCTTGTGCGATGAAGATTTAAAACCTGCAGCTGGTACAGTTGAAGGAATAATGCCAACAGCTTTGTGGACCTAAAACTTAAATGAAGTAATACTTTAAACGGCTAGTTATAACCATGTCTGGTTATGCTTTGTGAGCCGTACTTGCCTACACTTATTTTACACTAAATATTATTTAACAACTTTTAACAAACAAAATCTTTAGAAAATTTTACTAACAAAATAGTTCATTTATTTCTCATTAATATATTTATTATAACAAGAAAAAGAGAGAATATGATTGCTATAAAATGAAGGCTTACATTTCTTAGTTTACATTCCAATATATCTACCTCTTTTAACCCATTTGCATCATGACTAGAATTAGTCTTTTTTGTTCAAACAAAATGCTTCTTATGCGGATTATTCCGCGCTTCGATACAAATGGGTTGTGTAATTATATAAAATACTGTTGTTGGGTAATGTGAATCCTTTTGAAGGAATGTTATTATCCATCGATGAACTAATGATTTTAACCTAACTAAGTATCATTTTTATACAAACACTTTTACACTAAAATTATTTATACTCTTTGTTATATATTATAATAATATAATAAGCAATAATACAATAAGTTTGTTATATATTTATGACTCTCTCTCTCTCTCTCTCTCTCTCTCTCTCGCTCGCTCGCTCGCTCTCTTTCCAAAAATAATAAATAATTTGTGAACACCAGTTACCTTAGCAACATTTGCGTTGTTTTATCTCTCTATAGATATTATACGCCACATTGCGATATTATTACATCGCAATTAATATCGATTTTCAATCGATTATTAGAATACAAATGAATATCGAAAGATCACTTATTATTTACATTAATATAATGTCGAATATTTCTTATAATTTATTATTATATAATTTGGTCATTTAAAATTTGGTTATTTGGCGCCAGTACGGACACAGAGTAGCCAATGGTTAAAAAATAATTATGAAGCGCCATCTTGCGAGTGTGCAATTTACGAATCTAAAGTTGAATAACCTGTACGTTTTGTGGTAATATTGTCTTGCTCCACGTGTTTTTTTTGTTCATTTATGTTAAATAACATATATATTAAAAAATAACGCGTGTAAATTATCATGCGATATTTTATTGTTGAGATTTTTGTGCATTTGTAAAAATTATTAAGCGATTTCAAAATGGTGCTGTATAATTTTAAGAAGATTGCGGTTGTTCCAACTGCAAAGGTTAAGATCACTTTAATTTATACAATTATTATTAGAATTAAATATTTTCTATTTAGATATTTAACCTCTTTCATTTGTTCTTTTACAGGACTTTATTGATATAATTTTATCAAAAACACAACGTAAAACTCCAACAGTTATCCATAAGAATTATAAGATCGCAAGGATACGTGCGTTTTATACACGTAAAGTTAAATTTACCCAACAGAATTTTCACGATAGATTATCACAAATAATTCAAGATTTTCCTAAGCTCGATGATGTCCATCCATTTTATGCTGACTTAATGAATATCTTGTACGATAAGGATCATTACAAATTAGCTCTTGGACAAATTAATACTGCTCGCCATTTGATAGATAAGTAAGTCAATAGATAAGTATCTCAATATAGTTAATAGTACATAGTTAGTAGTAGTAGTCGTATATTCAATTTGTAATTATGTAAACTCTTTACTATGTACTTATTATTGTGACAGCGTTGCAAAAGATTATGTTCGTTTGTTGAAATATGGTGATTCGTTATATCGATGCAAACAATTAAAGAAAGCCGCCTTAGGTCGTATGGCCACTATTATGAAGAGGCAAGCTTCCAATTTGACATATCTTGAACAAGTTCGACAACATTTGGCTAGATTGCCAAGTATAGATCCTTATACACGCACTATTATTATTTGTGGATTTCCAAATGTTGGTAAAAGTAGTTTTATAAATAAAGTGAGTTGATTTTTGTTCTTAGATAAAGATGATATCTCTGAGCGCGTTGTCCAGTTAACTTTTAGTTGTTTTCATATTTAGATTACGCGTGCCGATGTAGATGTTCAACCATATGCATTTACAACTAAATCTCTATATGTGGGCCATACGGATTACAAATACTTACGTTGGCAAGTGATAGACACACCTGGTATATTGGATCATCCATTAGAGCAGAGAAATGTAATAGAAATGCAAGCAGTTACGGCTCTTGCTCATTTACGTGCAGCTGTGCTTTATTTTTTTGATATATCCGAACAATGTGGACATTCTTTAGAAGAACAGGTGAATAATATAATGTCTTGTTTTTCTTTTTGCCAAACTAATATTTTTTTTTTTTTTTTTTTTTTATTTCTTCAGGTTAAATTATTTGAATCTATCAAGCCTTTGTTTGCCAATAAGCCATTGTTAATCGTAATGAACAAAGTTGATGTGACACGTTTGGATGAACTTCCTAATGAAAAACGCGAGATCTTGAAACCATTAGAGGCGGATACAAATGTGCCAATATTAGAAATGAGTACCTTAACAGACTTTGGTGTTATAGATGTAAAAAACCAAGCGTGTGACCGTTTACTGGCTTTCAGAGTCGATCAAAAGATCAAGACGAAAAAGGTACTCTTTCTCTTTTTTTTTTCTTTTAAATATTTTCACATGTACATTTTGAACGTACTGATTATTGCATATCATTACAGGTGGAAGGTATATTAAATCGATTACATGTTGCTCAACCAGTACCAAGGGATCAAAAGGTTCGAGCACCATGTATTCCAGAAAGTGTCTTGCTTAAGAAACAAGCTATAGCTAATAAAGCAGAACGACAACGAAAATTAGAAAGAGAAATAGAGGAAGAGATGGGTGACGATTATGTACTTGATTTGAAGAAGAATTATGACATAGAAGGAGATCAGAAATATGATATTATACCAGAAATCTGGGAAGGTCATAATATAGCAGATTATATCGATCCAGAAATATTTGAGGTTGGTATAAATTAACGCGCTGCTATTAACGAGCTGTATATTCATATTCCCCATGCATTATTATATTTCGATGAAAACTTTCAGAAATTAAATCAATTAGAACGGGAAGAACAATTAAGAGAAGAATCTGGTATGTACGATTATAAATTACCAGAATTGACAGAAACTATGCAGGAAATCGTAGCATTGGCTAAAAAGATTCGTGAGAAGAAGATAATTATGAAGGATGAAGCTAGAATACAGAAGGCATCTACGAAACCTGTTATGCCACGAACAGCTGCAGCTAAGGTACGAGACAGATCTGTCTCCAAATTGAAAGAACAAATGGAAGATCTTGGTGTTGATATGGAAGATAGTGAAAATGTACGTACACACATCTTAACTTTTTAACAATTGTAACTAATATACTACTTAACAATTATTAATAAAATTAATATTATGTTTTTATAAAGGCACACTTTACAAAAAAGAGGAGTAGGTCTAGATCACGTTCACTGATAGCTAATAAGAGAATACGAACGGAATCAGTATCATCGCGGTCACGAGCGCGTAGTGAAATGGGCGTTAAAGATCCTCAAGTGAGTAGAACTAATAAAAAATATATAAATATGGTAGATATTTGTAAAAAATAAAAAGTCAGTACTATACAAACGGATATAATTAATCAAATTCTTTTTTAATAGATGAAAACTAAGCTAAAGAACATAGCACACAAGGCATTGAAGAAGAAGGTGGCAAAGAAAGGTCTCAAGGGAGAAGCGGATAGATTTATTGGCACAAAAATGCCCAGACATTTGTTCTCTGGCAAAAGAGGAGTTGGTAAGACCGATAGACGGTAAACAAATTCATCCTAAAATTTTAACAATTATTTCGTCTAAAGAATATGATTTTATAATGATATATTTCATAATAAAATTAAATGAATTGTTAGAAGTATTCTCGCATAATGTAATCAAAATAAAGAAAACAAAATTTTTGTTTTTCTTTACAATTTCTCATTTTTATCTATCATCCAATCATATATTCCATAATGACCTTACTAATTTGCATTTGCGATTAACTACATGTAGTAATTAAACATTTTTGTTATATTATCAAGACATTGGAAAAGATATATTTGATATATTAGCATTGATATAAATCACGGAAAGTCTAATGAACAACAATAAGTTACACGCATAATCATAGATATATATATATATATATATATACCTTTTGCTCGCAATTTATTCAAACGTTTAATTTAAAACTGTAAAAGACTAAGAGAAGAATGATTAGTTGCATAATGCGAAGGTAACCTTCGAACTCGAGCAAATGAAACGTCGTCGTCACGCCCAAAGAAAGTTTATTGCTGTCGTGTCGTGATAACCCCGAAGTGCTGCTGCTCTCCAGAGAGATTTTAACTTTATTCATGGAATCTATAGTCCTTAACGTTGACACTAATATCAACGTTCGAGAGTATTGTGCAATTCAAAAGTCAAAGTGTATGTGAATAAATAATCGGAACAGTATTTACACATACACGTACACTTATATTTTATCTAACACACAGGGTAGCTATAAGAAGAGAGAGGCATATTATATTTTCTCTCTCATTATAACGTAGGAAGTGTCGACCTTATATAAATAATGATACGCAGATCATTACGAATAAAAATAAAAATAAAATGACGAGCAAAAAGGAAAAATGCAACAATAAAAAAAATTGTCCGCTTTTTTTTTTATTGACAAGATTTTTCCATATAAATTAGAATAATAATAATAATAATAATAATTTATGTAAATGTTCGTACTCTTTTATATTTTATTACGTACAAATGAGAGGGTATATAAAAGGTAATAACGGAGCAACGAGGAATTTCTGTATTCATTGTGCGTGGTAGGAAGATATAAATATATATATATATATATTTTTTTTTTTAATAAAAAATCGGACGAATAATTTAAATATATAATTGGAGATTTTTTTCTTTTTATTTTATCTAATTCAAATGTAATACGTTTTTCCTAGTGATGTAGATGAAGTAGAGTGATAAGATTAAATTTGTTCTCTCAAAGTAATGCAATGAATAATAATATAATCGTACGGAGATTCTATTTTCACATAAATACTATAGGAACTAATAAAATTAAATAAAAATAAAAGAAAAATGTTTGTTCTTTCTTCTTTTTTTAAAAAACAAAGGATTTTTCACTTGCAAAACACACTTTTTATTTCTTTTCTTTTTCTTCTTCTTCTTCTTCCTCTTCTTCTTCTTCATTTCTATTTTCGTCTTTGTCTTCGTCTTCGTCTTCGTCTTCGTCTTCTTTTTTTGATAACTTTAACTCGAGATTAACGTTGCTGTGCGTAATAATAATAGTAGCAATAGTATCATACATAGTCAAGTATTTTGTTGTTTTTTAATAGTTAGTCTAAAAAATGATTGTAATAAATTAATAAATACGTATGGAATATAGATACATTAATGATTATGGCCCTTTTCGTGCATACAGTGAGTGTCAATCAGAATCGTAGGCCATTACGCTTACTAGAAAACTATCGTCGATATGGCATGTTTAGGATGAAGACAATTTAGAAATAAATAGTTTTCAAGAGTAACGATGTACGCTTTTAAATGACACTAGTTGTATACAACGAAACATTATATCCTGATCGATAGGTCGATTAATAAAATATATTCATACAAATGATTTAATAATAAAATATACGATTGGAAAAATATATGAAAGACTAAATCATAATTAATAAATCATTAAATAATAATTTGTATAGAAAGGATAAAAAATTGAGTGACATATAGGTACACGGAGAATTGAAAACGTATAAAAAAAATATATATATATATATGTAAATGTATAAATAAAAAAGAAGTTAAAAATCATTCAATAACTTCGATCAGGTTTGAAACGATTAAAAAGAATTCTCTATCATTAAAAAATACGACTAATATTAAATTATAATGAACAATGACGAGCAGATATCTTAGTATCACAGTCAATGTGAGACCCACTACTACCGAGAGGGAGTCAAAGGGTCTGGATTTGTTTGATGGTGGTTTTTCCCTTAGAATTTGATTTCTAATCCTTTAATATCATCTTGTGTATCTCCTATATTAATTGAACGAAAGGAAGATCTATAGGAAAGGATGTAAGTGAAAAGAAAAGAAAATCAAAAGGGAGAAAACCACCTTACACAAAACTAAATGTTATTCGGACGATTCTTTGGTGAGTCCTAAACGACTCTTGGATTGGTTCAAGACCATATCTCTTTCTCTCTCTCTCTCTCTCTCTCTCTCTCTCTTTTTCGAAGGCCCCTTTCTCCCTTTCTACGAACAAGCACATTCCAGCACACGCATGTTCTTCCAATTGGAAATCTTCAAAGTGGTAGAGTCGTTCTCGTCGAAATAAAGAATCTCGAGTTCGGTGAGTTTGCTTGGTGCACAACAAGGCCTCGGTGCTTTCCTTTTGTCTTCCTTCCATATAAGACTTTGTAAAAGTGCATGATGATGAGCAGGATTGTATCTAGGTGGACATCGACCCTTGCAATAACCCGCGTCGAATGTCTTAGGTTGCACAATAAATTCGAAACCTTTGAGATCCTTGAATATTACCGTCATCTCGTGTCTACAACATTTTTTATTATCCTCACGACACTCGGTTCTACGTCCCTTGTGAAGAGACATCAATTTTTCCGGTGTTCCGCGTTTTCTTCTTCTATTACCGTTATTATTACCCGTTACATCATAGGATGCAGTTGTAAAAACATTTAATGCGGGTAAAGCAAAAACGCGACGAATCGGTGAACCATTTTGAAGAAATTGTAAATCTAATTCAAGGTTCTTTCGTTCATCGAGTAAACATGCTATCGCTAACTCCGTCACGTCCACTTCTAACCACTTTGAATTTCTTGGATCGTTCAATCGAATTCTTCTTCTTACTTGTGGACTTTTTCTCCTCGTTATTGGCCTTGTTTTTGACAACGACGACGACGACGACGACGACGAAGATGAAGATGAAACTATCGTGTCAGAATACAATTGTTCGTTTCGTAGATAAACGATAATTTCCAAATCGTTGTCATTGTTGGTAGCTCGGTGATCTCCCACCAACAGGAACCTCAAGGATGCGTGATCAACCGTGGAATCTTCTTCATCTAAATCCTCGGGAATTTCCACGGGAAAGAACAATCGTTGAAAAATCTTGCTATCTTCTTCATCTTCTACTTCTTCTGCTTCTGCTTCTGCTTCCGTCGTCTCTCGTCTCGTCCTATTTCCAGAATGCTCTGTAACAAGAAATCGAAATATATATTTATATATATATATATATGTATATCTCTGTGTTTGTATGCCTCTGCTATGTCTGTTTAAAGATTGTTATGAAGAATGCTATTACGTCAGTAGAAAATGGAAAATCATTAATGGATGAACGATTACAAGCCGGGGAATCATTTTATCCAGACGATGCGATAGACTAACGCATTTAGGTTTTTACGTTGAAATTAAATGAGGAAAAGTGAATAATAGATGAATAATATCAAAAATACAACGAAAATAAGATATATTTAGATGTATAAATTTTCGAAGGGTTTCGTTGTAATAATATATTAAATCAACGATCAACGATCAACAAAACATCCGACTAAATGTAAACTTGTATTTTTTAACAACTCGATATATGCATTTTGGAAGCCTATACCATTTCTAGAAGCAATCGCGAAATAGCTAAGACTTTGAAAGGGATGCAAATAGATGGCATCATCTTTATCCAGCATCTGCTGTTTCCAGGCGAAACGTTAACAATAATTGCTCGGTGAATATGCATATGCTGTATGAGAAAGAGTAAAACGTGTTTAATGCGACGCGTTAATAATTGTCTCACGGTCCGGGGACTGTCTGCATTTTCTACATCGTGGAAGATCGTGAACCATTGCTAACATCCTGTGTAAGCCAGACGTCGTAATCCATTTGTTCAATGAATAATTATTTAATCCTTTTTTCTTCTTTTTTTCTTCTTTTTTCAATATACAATGTACGAGTATATTTATATAAATGATTGTATTTAGAAAAATTGGTAAGAGATACTAAATGTATTGTATTTATTGAACAAATCAATTATTCAACAAAATCACCAATGTAAACGTTATTAATTATTACGAAAGACTGATGCTTTTTAATCTAATATATACGCGTATACGTGTGTTAGGTACTTTATTAGAACATTATCGTGTTTGATGTCAACGCGCGAGAAGTAGGTCGGTGCTGAACGTTACTGCTTGTTACACCACAAACACATTATAACGTGACAACGTGATCGATCACGTTCTTCTCTTTGTAAACGTTTCTAACTTGCGTTAACATTTGAAAAAATCTAACTCATTCATGCGTCTTCCTTTCTCTCTCATTCCTCCTTCACCATCCTCTTTTACATTATCTTTTACATTATCTTTTACATTATTTGATCTTTTTATCATACGTAAAGATACTTCAAAGTATTTCAATCTTTTCCTATTTATCCTAGAAATTTGTATTGAAAGGAATTCCAGGCTGATCGCCAAGTTAATTGTTTAACAAACATTTTTCTATATATAATGTGGACATAAGCAAATGGAGGACACGACACAATGCAAGAAAGCAATTCATGTAAAAAGTAGCTTATGAAACTCGGGCTTATTGCCAACTAACAATGGATTGTTAGAAAGATGGAAAGAGAGAATAAGATAATAAAGGTTCGAAGTTAATAGCAAAGAGAAAGTTTTCCAACTTGTTACATTGTTTTCTTACCAAACGATTTTTAATTCACTATTAAATGCCATTGTTAACATATCTGTTGAAGGTTTTTCTAAACACCTTGTATATATACCATTAGATAAATGGGAAAAGAAACTTTTAAGTGTTTTTCTAAATAATACTAGTATATGTAATATTTCCAATAATATTCTTACATATGAAACTTATTTAAACCAATGAAGTTATTTCGAAAAAATGATACTAATTTTATTTTCAGATCATTTCTATATTATTTCCTAGATAATTTCTTCGATTATTTTATATATGTTCCAATCGAACGATTTCAACAACACACGAATTTATTGTATAATTTCTGATAATTGAATTTCTTACGATCACAGAAATAATCATGTATTCGAAGCATTCATAATTAAACGTTCTTATTTCTACATCGTTTCTAGATCATTATTAGATTATTATCTAAATCATTCACGATACGTTCCTGTCGAATGATTTCAACTTTCGAACTTGTTATTATTTTTTCTTAATAATTTACATTTTTACGATCAGAGAAATATGATATTAATAATAATAATAATAATAATATTTGAAAAGGTTTATTATTAAACGTCCTTATTTCTAGATCACACCTCTCGATCATTTTCAATAAATTTCGATACGTTCGACTCTCGAAAACTTGTACTTTCTGATATTAGTAAATGAAATTTACAATAACAGGAAATATGTATGCAGATTACTCGAAGTTTCATCATTAACGTTAAATTACGAGCTAATTTATGTCTCACTTCAAATAAAGATTTTCAAAGAAGTACTCTACATAAAAGTGGACTACGATAAAAGGAAAAAGAACATTCGACTCGTTCGTTTTTATTACTGCATCATCCCGAATCAAATTCGAAATATATTACTTCGACATCTTGTAAATAACATTTAACTTGTCTCCCACACACACACATACTTTTTTCATAATCAAATGTTTGCTCTTGTTGTTGTTGTTGTTGTTGTTGTTGCTGTTGTTGAAAAAAATGTACGTAAATCTATTATCATTTTTAGACTATGTTAAAATATTAAAGAATTTCTCGAAAGAACGAACCCGTTTCTTATCAAAGAAAACGAGCATTTCATTTTCGTATCCTTTATCTCGTCCTTTTTTTATTTGTATATTTTGTTAAAAAGAGATATAGTAGGAAAGAGAGTTTATCTTCTTCGAAATTTCTTCTTGTTCGCCATACTCGGAACACGGATTTTACGAGCTTTTAGCTACATATGTATATATGTCGAAGATACTGATAATGAAATTTAACGAACGACTTCGTGGAATTCATCTCGATTTACTTTAAAAATAACTATCTTGTACTATCGTCAATAAAAAATCATCGATTTTTCAATGTGTGTCGTGTGTAAACTTTCAGTTGGCGAAGACAAAAAATGTCAATTACACAAATTCAAATATTCCATTGTAGTAATAAAATACCGTATATATCGTGTGCATCTATTAGAATAATAGTTCTTAGAAATAAAAGACTGTCGAATTATTCGAATTCGAAGAATGATGTTCTAATGGAGTACCTAACACGTGTGTAATGTGCATTACTCATTCATTTATAGTGTTCTATACGATTTCCACGAACAATAGTGTACTAATATAAGAGCATTATGCATTTATTAGATTGTAAAACTTTCCTCTTTGAGTTTAATTAATACATTTAATTCACATATAATCAAATATAAAGAATGACAAAAAGAAGAAACGAACAATCAGTAAAAATGATTAATGGTTGCAATTGAAATCATTTCAAATCCCTTATGTTCTTGTTCAAGAATTTCGTATTATATTCCGAGCCACCTACGCACCGTAAATGAAAAAAAAAAGCACAAGTCTTTCGTAATAATTAACTCTATTTAAATCCATTAAACATTGACACAATCATTTCCTCGAATCGTAGAAACGCATGTCCTATTTGTTTATTTTCTAAAGACGCCACTAAAATCATTCCCGCGGGTCTAATCTTGAAAATAATTGAAGCTGGAAGTTTCGTGTGGGTGGGTCGAAATGATTTATAACACGTTAGAAACGTGTCTAAGCGTGTCTTACCACCCCCGCTTCCCACTATCTATTTCCATCTTTCTCTCTCTCCAGTTTATTGGATCCTGCAGAGATCCAATAGAAGAATGTCAAATTATCACGATTGGTATGTTCTATCGACGATTCGAACGTGAAATTTTCATTATGCGTTGCGTTCACATTCCATGCATCATAGAATTATCTTTTCTATATCTCTATCTCTCTCTAGGGAGAGAGAGAGAGAGAGAGAGAGAGCGAGCACGTGCTACGTGAAAGAGAAAGAAATAGAATGATTTATTGGCTAGATAAGAATAAGATTCTACAAAATTATGGGATGCCTAGGGACATTTATGGGACTGGAAAACAAATTGTTTCAATTGATTGACAAATTGGACTTTCTGTCGAATGATTTATTAAGTATTTAGAATGATTATTAAGTATTAGATGAGATAGATGATTAGTTTGTAAGAGTTAATTATAGAAATACGAAATTTGTATCTAATTATTCTAATATTATTATTTAGAAATGAATGACACATTGTGAAATATTTGAGAGTATCTCTTATTTCTTCTTATTGTCAATATCTACGGATCGAAACGCACTAGGTACGTTCATTCACAAATAGAATTAGGCGAAGCGAGGGTGAGATACAGAGAGATAATAGATGGTTTTAAAGTGACGATTCCAGGGAAAATAGCTCGAATGATATATCCTTTCGGAATTCATGGCATTTTCTTCAATACACTCGGCAAACAACGAATATCTGTTGATATTCGTCAGACACGGAGAATTTCGTACTGCGAAATCGCGAAACGATTATACGCCCTAAATAACCGACACGGTAACACACATATACATCGCGGAATCGTAAGCCGTGCCAATTATAGACTTTATCACACGACTTTGATTCTAAGAATAGACACCAAGTACGTTTCTCGTAAGGTATTTTTGCATAGCGTAAGAAATATAGAAAGAGAAAGAAGAGAAATGCGTCTTCCGTTCTGTATCCTTTACAGAATCTCTTACATCGATTCATGGAAAACGAAATTTCAATGTTTTACACTAACTTCAGTCGTAGTAATATCAATTCAAGAGTACGAACAGTTAAATCGGCAAAATTTATGATTAAAGGTCCTCCGACTTATTTTGTACTTCCTGATTATACGCCAACACTAGTGTGCCTAACTTACTATTACTTTGACTAGATCAATTTCAAGATGATTGACGTTACGTTTTCTACGTTCTTACTTTTATCATCCTACGTCTTTTGCACATACATATATTAAAAGATACAATTGTTGTTGTTTTTTTTTTTTTTTTTTTTTTTTTTTTTTAATACAATTGACAAACATATTTATCTAATTCGTTGAAAAATTGTTAACATCATTCGAATGTCGTCAGGAATCCAAATGAATTCGTCGAGTTCGATGACAACGCTGGCACGAATGGTAATCCAATTAGCTGAGATATCGTCCGGGCGCCGTTAATCGTGTTAAAACGTGGAAGCAAATTGCACGTGGTGCTAAAAATAAAATAAAAGAGAGAGAGAGAGAGAGAGAGAGAGCGAGAAAAAAAATGTCCAAAATAACTTAATTATACTATATCATAGTACTATTGTACTAATAATAGTATCCATTTGAAAAATCATATCAATTTAAATTTAACGAATTTTCTTTTTTAGTAATCTATAAAATATAAAAGTTATCATATATTCCTAATAATATAGAATTGTATCTGAAAACTATTTAGATGAAACACACCAAAGCAGAGTGCAGACTATCTGCTACCGCTGCTACTAACTTCTTCTTCTTCTTCTTCTTCTTCTTCTCTATATTGCTGTTGCTGCTTGTGCATTTCCTTGACGATTCGTTCTTATTGCATCGAGGAACTCGTCGCTCGGCATTCCGCCGAGCATGGAATTTCTATTTCATAATAACAGCCGTGTAGCGGCTGCGAGGCGAGCCGTCACGAGCAAAGAAGTCTTCTTCTTTCTTTCTTTCTTTCTTTCTTTCTTTCTTTCTTTCTTTCTGTCTCTCTATTTTTCTTCTTTTCATCTTCTTAACGTTGCTACCACCGTAGACAAGCACCACTTCAGACTGGTCAGCTCGAGTAGGTACACTTTAGATGAATGTCCGACCTAAAACCTAAGGTCATCTTAAGATACCAGATTCCATAATATGTACTTACTACTACTAACTTGCTTTTTCGGTCAGCAGGATGAGAAATATCTACTTGTCACTGAAAACGAGTATCTCTTTAATTAAATAATTCTAATTATAATGTTTATTATCAAAGATAAACGATACTACTAATAGCAAACTTTTAATTTTCGTACCGTTTTGTTAATGCTGTTAATATTTCAAAGTTCCTACACATATACATTCTATTTTACAAGTGTAGAAGAGATTCTCTTATTATATTATTCGACTAAATATATATATATATATATACATGTATATGTAATATCATCAACTAGTTGTTGATGAAGGAAAAAAGAAAAAAAAAGAATAAAATGACGAGAAAAAAGCAACTGCAAATGTGTTTAAAAAAATATATATATGTATCTAATAATATATAAGGGTTTTCTCTCGAAACCCTTCTCTAATCTTATTTACTCGAATAAACATTATTTTCGAAATCAACGATAACTGTCTGAGAAAATACAAAATTAAAGAGAAAAGAAAAATAATAAATCGTACAATTTTGTATAATAGAAAGAGAAACAACAAATTACTCGACTTTGCTTTCTAGCCAAACGTCACGTTTCTCTCGAACCCTTTCTCTATACAAACCCTAACCCTAAGTTTATTTAGACGAAGTGGCAATTATACTTGTGACCACCTACATTTTTTACCATCTACATTTTTTCCGAGAACGCCTCTAACAATTTTCCAAGTCATCTGGTCAGAATGTAGTTAACAAATAATTTTCCATTTTTTCTCTACTAAATGGATACTTTCTTTCTCTCTATCTTGATCCAGCAAGTTCCAATAATAGCATTTCGTATATTTGCTCGAGACACTCCAAAAGAAATATACTCTTCGAATCTTAGGATCTCAGCATCCGTTAGTTTCTCCCTCTCTAGTTTATCTAGCCAGCAATCTAGATATCTTCTATCTTTACTAGTTATCTTATTCGTCACCGTTTCTCAGAAAAGAGGACAAACGAAAAAGATTTGACGTAAGAAACGACGAGAATGATGCATTCGAAGATGAAAACTTATGTCATCGTTATTAAACACCTACAGAATCGATTCTATAGTCGATTCATTTTCTTTTGTCGAAATCGCAAAGATTTTTCGGTCCAAGTTCATTGACCGAGACAGGAGTATCAATCTTCCAACTTTTGCAACTTCCTTTTGAACTACCACCGGGATTCTCCTTCACCTCCTTCATCTTTTTTATTACTCAGTGTGGGAGCATAAAACAAGAAGGAAAAAAATTCAAAAGAAACGAGTTTGCAGTTCTTCGCAAAAGTTCGCCCAGGTTTCAGGGGTTGAGAGACACCCCCGGGGCCCCTTTTTAGTCAGAATTCTTGGCTAAAATTTCGAGGCTCTTTTTAAAATGACCCTTTAATTTCTCTTTCTTTCTTTTAACCCTTTCTCTCATTTATAAGAAACAAAGTGTCAGGTCTTTTCTTATACAAGTTTACGAGCGACGCGTGAAAATTTCAAGTCTCTCTCTCTCTCTCTCTCTCTCTTTTTTTACTCTTCACATGAGATGGAAAAAAGACTTTTTTACACACATACATATTATACATATATATATATATATATATATGCATACGTATAAAATAAAGTAATTCTCACGTGATTTGTTTTATTTTCTTTTGATTTAATATACCTGTGCCATGAAACACGTGAAGTCTTCTTCGCTTTCTCGACTCCTGCGGTGGTCCATGATGCTGCGACAGCTGCACTTTCTTCAGGTACTCTCTGTGCGCCCTCTCGTATTCCGTCTGGCTTACGTTAGCCTAAAAAAAAAAAAAGAAAAAAACAAAAGGAATATATAGAATGTAAAATACGTACAAATCTCTCGTACATATATGTTCACCTTTATAAGCCGTAAAAAATAAGTTTTATAATTGTCATGATTAAAAAAAAAGAAAAGTTCAATGAACTCGTATAAAATAATCATTTATTATACTTCTCATTGATTTGTAAAACTTATTATTACCTGGTTGCTTCGTTAACGTTCCAATTAAATAAGCTATCCACGTTAAATCTGATATATGTATATTTATTACGATTGGATATCCAAGTAAAAATGATTAGGGATCAATTACGAGCAATCAAGAAGAAATGAAATGATCAAACAAGAAAACTAAAACGGATGGATAATCATTGCCATAAAAAATGTGCCATTGACGATCGACATAAAAAAAAAAAAAGATCTAATTTTTGAACGTCGCAACATAAAGTTTGTCACGAATCAAATGTGAATTTTACGCTCTAGTTAACAATCATACTCTCTCTTTTTCTCTGTCCTCATTGTCTTTCCCACCGTTTTTACCCCTTTTTTCATCCCTCTTAAAGCTCCTCTCCAACTTTCAAGTTGTTCTCTCTCTCTCTCTCTCTCTTTCTCTTCTTTCTACTCTTCAGAAGGTACTAGGAACGTCTACGGCACTGTTTCTCGGACGTTTCACTAGTTGAAAAGACCAGACGTCGATGACGTTTCTGAGATTAATAACAAGAAAGAGAAGGAGACAGAAAAAGATATTTCTATGATTCAGAAATAGAAACAAAGTTGACAATTTTATTTTCCAATTCCATTATTATTAAATGATAACTTTGCTATTTTCAAATAAATATATTTATACTTGTGATCATTAGGAAAAAAGTGCATGATTATGGTTAGAGAGAGAGAGAAAGAGAGAGCAAAAGTTAAACTTTTGATTGATCGATGAGAATAATAGGAAGAAAGAGAGATCATTTCTAAAATTAAGACGTGCATTCATCAATGCGACCAATCATCATATAAAACACAACATCTTTCAATTCTAACATTATCCCATTTCTCGAGAAGGTAGATATAAATAATATTATCGCGTTCGTCATTTTTGTTTGCACGTTAATAAAGTTGGTTAATCATTTCTAAGAAGAAAATCGTACAATTCGATCGAGTTACAAGAAAATTCTATTTGTAATAATGAACAATGTGAATGAAGTGAAAAAGATTGTAGAAAAACAAAAATCCCAAAGAAAACACGTGTCTCTTGTTTAACCCTCTTCTTTGGTATAAGTTCGATCAAACTTTTACAATATAGATATATATGAATTTGTTGATAAACTTCAATAAAAAAAAATGACGAAACTAAGGAAAGAAAGAAAAAGACAAAAACGAGACGAGAAATAAAGTAAACAATCGTGACGAGATCCTCCTGAATTCACCGGAAGCAGACGGTGAAGACGATAGGTGAGTCATCCTTCATCGTGGCAACCTAACGCCCCCGCCAATCCCTTTAAAGTCATTTAACTTCTCTCTCTTTTTCATTTTTTTTTTTTCCAAAGAAAGAGATAGATTCTTCTTTTTCGTCTTCTTCTTAAGATCAGTTAACTTCACCGAGGCAAGTTCCGGTTCGAGAAGAATGTTTTCTTCGTCTTCGTCTTCGTCTTCGTCTTCGTCTTCGTCTTCGTCTTCATCATCTTCTTCTTCTTCTTTATCTTCGTTTTCTTTGAAGCTATTGCAAAGCTAAAGAATACGTGACTTCGCGATATTCATGCTAGGTAAAGGAAATGAAGTTAAAGAGAGAAAGAGAGAGAGTGTGAAGTATGGGCTTTTTAGAAAGTCATGACGAGATCTTTGTGGGTGGCCCCCTACATCGACAATTAGATACGAACAAATTCATATTGAAACTCAAGCAATCAAACATACGGTGTCTACAATTTCTCATATATATATATATATATAGAAAAATTCAGTGCTACAACCCATCTTAACAGTTTAGTATTAGAAGAAAGCCATAGCACCTAGTACCTACATATATATATAATAATCGTAAAATTTATTATGAAACATTTGGAAATTCACACGTCATAAGTATGACCGCATTTCCTTCATTGATAAATTTCAAGCTCTCCCTTTTCCCTCCTACCTTCCGTTCATCTCTTAATCCGTCTAGACGAACGTAATTTCTTTTTAAGAAACTTTAAGTAAACGACAAGTATACTACTAGCCCTCTGTAGTCTGCGTAGGTCAGTCAATTGGTCCTTTTAAAATTGTGATTTGAGAGAACAGTGTCCTGGTATGCATAAGCGCAAAAACAAATTCGCGAGGCTAAGTGAGCAGCACAGCAGCAGATCACCGGACGTGGATGAAACAACAACAAATCGGATCGGACGCTCAGCAGGGAATTTCCATGCGTTTCTTTTACATATGGCTTGCTTAATTATTCGCAAACGCGAAAAACGAGAATAGAAATTTTAGAATACATCTAAAACTTCGGGATATACATAAAAAAAAAAGAAAAAAAAAGAAAAAAAAAGAAAAAAAAGAGAGATAGTTATATAAATCGATTGGCCTTGGACTCGAAAGTCGAACTCGAACGATAAATATATAAAAAAAGAAAAAAGATATCTTTCTCGGAAGAGATTCGTAAAATGAAGAAAAATACAAAATAAATTTTCTGGGCACGCCTTCGACTCGTTAAAATCTCAACAGATTTGCGTTAAACGAAATTGTTTATCAACCAGAGATATTTATCATATTAGGTATATATATGAAATTTCACGCGAAATTATTTATCAACAAATCGATGTATATATTTTGACATCATTTATATCTTCACTAATATCGATGCGATTGTAATTTAACCGTAAACATTCTCTAATTCGAAGAAATTCGGACAACAAAAATACCGGTTTGGTGATTTACCGGTCGATCTTGATGATGACGTTGAATACGTCATCGCCATGACGCTGCATTTTTCTTTTTCTCCTTCTCTCCTGTTCTCAAAAAAAAAAAAGGAAAAAAAGGAAAGAAAGGAGGGCTAATTTACACAGCGTCGTCTTCCGTCCTTCAAAACGATCGAGAAATTTCATTTAATTAGCTTTACGTATGCTATGCTTATGCATGAAATGCATTTCTTGTGAAAAGCCAGCAGAACCATGTATTAAGTCCTATCAAAAGTGTATACAAACGTGTTCCTGATCTTTAACTTTGCTAAAAGACCGAAAGAGAGTGAGAGAAATTTCCTTTGTATAAAAGGAAGACGAAACGACTAACTTTCTCTTCAAATTTAAACCAATCATAAATCTCGTTAGCGTCGATTCAACGACCAAGTGATTGCAGCCTGTCATAGTGAGCTGAACATAGTAACTTTTCAGTTATTTTTGATCAATTGATATACGATATATATATATATATGCATATAAATGAATTACATATGTGTATATATACATATGTAGATAACACAAAAAGGATAAGATGATCACTGACGAAAGGGATTTATCTCTTGAAATTTGCTCTCTCTCTTTTTTTCTTTTCGACTTGTCATAGTCATCGTTGAAAAAAAAAAAAAAAACTGTCGTCAGAATGTCACCGATCATTAAAATCCAACCGATTAGAAATGAAATTCTTGAAGGATGTTAACTAATCGAATGAAATCATTCACAATATGTGAGAAGTACCTTAGACAGGTAAATTTAAGAAAGAAAGAATAAATAAATGATTAATATAAAACTCGTTTTATATATCTTATCGATCATTGACATCAAATTTAGAAATAAATTATAATACATAGAAAAAAGTGATCTATCAAGAAAATATTTGTAAAGTAAAGATGAATAATATAAACGAAAAGTACGTTAAACTCTCTCTCTCTCTTTTCCTTCGTGGACGCAATTGCCTAAGTGTCCCGATAATATGGTACGCATGTAACCGAATTATCAACGTAGAAATCCCATAAATATCACTTCAGATAAACAGGCCTGGCCTTTATCTTTCACAATTTATTCGTTCTCGCCGACTTGAGTTATAGCCGCCCCAAGTTGCGGGAGCACGCACTTTGCCAGTGTTTTCCATCTTTTCTTAACAAACAACCTTCTTTTTCATTTCTCTTTCTCTTCTCGTTTTATAATTCCTCCAGTTTCTTGTCAAGTTTCTCGTCTAGTTTCTCCTTCATCTTTCATCTTCATTAACGAACAACAATTTGAATCTTATGCTTATAAGGGAAAACATTGATGACACTTCTTTCGTAATTTTTGACAATATAATTCAAGTTGGAATATCAAATAGTCCAAGTATTCTACTTAACAAGTGTTTCACAAATGCTTTGACGTATTTGCGAAGAAAACTTTTGTTCATACATATGTAAGCAAACGTATAAATATTTTTTACCTGGTATGAATTTGTATTTCTATTAATTTCCTTTTTAAAAATTGTCTATGTAAAACTTTCTAATCATATCGAAGTTTTCATGTAAGATGGGATTATGCTTTCGAAAAAAAAGTTCAAAGTCTTCTAGTTGGTATAAATATTTTTCAAATCATGTAATGAGTATGCCCACCACGTGGGTGTATACTTATAATTAGCGTGCGGGCCATTATGTAGATACATTGCTACCAGGATACGTACGAGACAGGGCAAACGCACGGCGCCGTGCGTTCTTCAGAAAAAAAAAAAAATAAATAAATAAAACAAGACAAAAGGAAAGAAATAAGAAAGAGAGAGAAAAAGAGATGAAACGTGTTATTTTCATTAACACAAATTTCGATTAAAAATAATTCAATTCCATAAATGAATCTAATATTTTGATTAACAATCATTTTCAAAGAAATAACATATAGTTCTGAAAACTAAACTAAACTAAACTAAACTAAATGTGTGTGTGTGTGTGTGTGTGTGCGTGTAAGAAGGTATTTGTAGAAAAAAAATTAGACAAAAATTAGACAAGGGGGAGAAAAAGAAATAACAAGTAGTAAAAGTAAGTATTTGAAAGTTGAACGTAAATGTGAAAAAAGGAGGGTATGCTAT